ATTTATTTATTTGCGGCATCTCTAGTGTGCACACCTCGGTCTCTCCTTTTCCCTTGGCACATTCTTGACCCCGTGGGGGGTAGGGAAATGCTGCCCAAAAAAAAAAAAAAAAAAAAAATGTTTCTCTTCACATTTTTTTATTTATTTCTTTAATTATTTTTATTATTTATTATTTATTTATTTTCTTATTTATTTTTATTTCCTCTCGAAGGCGTTAACCACCGTCTTCACCCGAATAGAACACCCGGTCATTATGGCTGTATTTTGTGCAACTTTCAGTCTACATACAGCGATAACGACTGGGTGTTCTATTCGGGTGAGGACGGGAGTAACCCATCCCCACCGAGCTCCCGGTTGTGTGTTCCTTTTCAACAAACGTTTGGACAGTCTTGTCAACAATTCGACTAAATTCGGGGCACCTGTCGGATTGTGCGTCCTGCTTTTTCCCATCAACTTTGCTTATCTACTGGTTTCGAGTAAATGCAGGATGTCTTGTCATTAATTCGACCAAATTCGGGGCACCTGTCAACAATTCGACCAAATTCGGGGCACTTGTCAACAATTCGACCAAATTCGAGGACTTGGGCACAGTGATGAGTGAGGAGCGTGTGTGCGAATGTTGTTCCCTTTGGAATTTCGTCCAGCAGAGGCCTTTTTGAAACAACGTTTTCTTTTTTGGACTTCGGCACAGTAATTAAATTTGGACCATTTCTTTATTTGTGTGGCATTCTTCTGCAGGGGCCTGCGTGTGTGTGTGTGTGTGTGTGTGTGTGTGTGTGTGTTCATGTTCTCTATACATTGATAGCACAAAAAAGGCATATGACTTGAACGAATTGTGTGTGTGTGTGTGTGTGTGTGTGTTATTTGCTATACACAACTCCACAAGAAAAGCATGACTGTGCCAGACTATTTCGTCAGACTTTTACCGCCTCGTCAGAAGTGTGTGATTGCGTCTGGAGAGAGAGAGAGAGAGAGGATTTTTGTAGGGCGTGATTGCAACGCTCACCAAAGTCGTCTTTTGGTGAGGTGGTGGTTGCTGCGCCACTCACTGAACTTTATAACTTGGAAAATCGTCAGAAATGGTGGAGTGGCCAGTTGGTAGGACCCTTTAGGCAGGCACATCTTTGGCGAGCCCGGATTGGTCCAGACCTTTGCAGACTGGTTTGCATTTTAGCTTGATATAGGGTTTACTCGCTATATTAACCAGTACCAGAGGACTTTATTTGAGTGAATTGAGCAGGCAATTTGGTCAGGTACAGGCAATAAGGTTATTTGCTGTTCGAGGGTCATTGGTAATATCCTTGTTTGGGTGTCTGCTGCAGTCATGAACAATGGCGAGTTCTTCAGGCTCTCTCGAGGTTGGTGTGAACGCATCGACGGTTATCGTCTTTGGTGAGTGTTCCGATGAGGCTCCTTATGTATTGGCTTCTTGGGAATGGCCAGGGCGAGGTCCCACTAGTAAAAAGAAGAATTGGAATTTTAAACCACTAGTACTTCCTAAAGTCGTGCCCGTTAATGCTACGCGATTTTAGGAAACGTACGGGCCACTACAGGAGCGCCCAGATTCATCCAACCAGAAACGTTTCTACTCTATTTTTTTTTCCGCGGCCAATAGCTGGGCCAAGTACTGGTGGTTTAAACCACCAGTACACGGCCCCAGCCTCGCAGAAAAATGATATTGTCGCCACACGCAAAACATCAGGGCTCGGGGAAGGCCTGATAAAGCACCGGCGGAGTAAAGCTTGTGGGCCCATTGAAAATGGGCACCCCACCAATAGATGGAGCCTCCCTAGGAGTGATAGGGGTGGCTGCTCTTATCAGCACCCCTAGCATGACCTCGGGTGTTTGCGTTAAAAAAAAAAAAAAAAAAAAAAAAAAAACAAGGGGCAGGTGAAATAGAACCTTTCCTAGTGGTCCAGTCTGCCTGTGTGTTTCCACATGTACGTACAAAACCCCTTCCTCGCTGGCAGTGGCCTGCGTCCCGGGGCCAAGTCCCACTTACCCCAATGATCGATTTTTGACCGCAGATTCAGAGGATCAACGACCAAAAATCATGGATCAGCGTAAGTGGGACTTGGCCCCCGACTTTGATATTTATAAAGAATGATCTTCTTCTTACAAAAAGAATAATATATATATATATAGATATATAGATATATAGATACAAAACAGGGAAAGAAAAAAAGAAAAAAAAAACAACCAAGGAAAAAGGAGAGGCATGTGCTTTGGATTTTTCATTTGGATGGCTCTGGCCACATTCCTGGGTCACATTCGAGGGCACATTCGGGGGGATTTTTCATTCGGTACCCGTCGTGAAACGGCGCTACCGGTACCCCGAGGTTTTTGACGTCAGGGGACCTGTGGTTTAAGTCTTTGAGTTGTGGTCTTTGGTTTTAGGGTCGGACCCCACTGCGGTGCGGATGCGGATGGAAAAGACGTGAGGCCACGAAAAGCGGGCAAGTCATTTTGGAAAGCCAGAAAGGAATTATTCCGGAACCCCATCGCAGAGGACCAAATGCGCATTTTGGAAATTTAAACTCTTTGGAAATCAGTTGAGCCAATCTTTGCCTGTGTCCGTTGGCACTCTTTTGTTTCGTTCTTTTTTCCGATTGTTTTTTTTTCTTTTTTTTTTGGGTGGCACTCTTCATAGCTATTGGCTGCTGCCTCCCGTGAGACTTTTCTAGGGTGGAGGTCACACTAGCCAAGAGGATCGGATCAAGCTCTCGAATCTGGATGTGTTTTGTGCAGAGATGCAGAAAAGCAGTTCAATCTCGATTTCCTGCACCTCTCGATAAACTCGTCCAGATTCAGGCATTCGATCCGATCCTCTTTGCTAATGGGACCACGGCCCAGGAACAACACGATGCCCTCCCCCCTACCCTCTAGAGTCGGCACAAAATTTCGGCGAGGAATCCTCCCGTGAGACATTTCCAGGCCGCGGACTATGTGAAAACACAAATTGATGACTATGTGAAAGCACATATTGATGTTTTTCCAAGCCGCAATCTTCGGTCTGTGGGTTCCTGGAAAAGGGTTTGCGGAAGAAATTTCACCTTCCCCAGGACATTTGCGGCAGGCTGCGGGGTCGTGGAAACGTTTTTTGCGGCCAAGTTTTTCCTTTCCGCTGTCCTGTGTGGTCCAACCCTTAGGAACCCTGCTGCCAGGAAGGCAGGGCGTGCGGTTTTCAACTGTTCCGACAGCTGTTTCTGTTTTTTTTTTTTTTTTTCTCGACTAAGAGCGTCGTTCCACACCACTTGAAAACACTTGAGTTTCAAGTGCACATTAGAAGAGAAATTGAGATTAATTTACACTTGAAACTCGATTTATGGTTCCATGTACACTTGAGGAAACAACCCTTGAACAGGATAGCTGCACTTGAAACCGAACTCCACGGCTTGATCAATCCTGGACCTGGGACCCCCCTCCTCTCCCCCTCCCAACCCAAAAAAAAGGCCGGTATCTGCTGGCGCTTGAACTCAAGGTACGTCTGGGAGGTGACTTGAGTTCAAGTGCGATTTTGCC